ATGCACAACTGTGCCCAAGAAAGATGAGCTGCTTTATCTTCTTCTGCTGTCATTCACAGAAATTGCTCCTATACCTCCAACCCCCCATCTGACATCCAGTGAGAGAAGAAATCCTAGCCCTAGCAGAAAGAAATAAAAGGGAAGAAAATAGAGAAGAAGTGAAATTATAACCATTTGCAGATGATATGTTATTATACTGAAAAAAACTCCAACAAAAAAACTCTTAGAGCTCATAAACATATTCAACAAAGTAGCCAGATACCAAATAAATATACAAAAACCAGCAGCATTTCTATACACAAACAATGAACAGACCAAGAAAAACATCAGGAAAACAATCCCTTTCATAACCACATCATAAAAAACCTCAGAATAAATTTAACACATTGTTTCCATTTGCTAGTGCTGTACCTAATGACTGACAATTTTCTCATCTTTATTCTCAAACAAGCTCAATGGCATTGGTGTTCTGTGCATTGTATGAAAGACAGACAAGTAAGGAATTTGTTTTATTTGATTGTCAAGCTGATTTTACAAGATTGGCAATTTGTATTCACACCTTGATATTCTTTGGGAACTTATCAGGAGTCCCAGTCACACCAACCAGGACAATAACACAAAAACAAAGAACCATTAACTGTTTACTGTGTCACCAGATGTACCCAAACTCTGTAGAACAAAGTGGAACATTATTGGTTAAATTATTAAAGCCTTTCCTGAAACTTAAAAAAAAAGAAGTCTAACAAAGAAAGTGAAAGACGTATACATTGAAAACTACAAGTGAAGGGAGAAAGAAATTAAAGAAGACATTAGAAGATAGAATGTGCTCATGGATTGGCAGCATCAATATTGCAAAAATGGCTGTACTACCAAAGCACTCTATACAGTCAATGTAATCCCCACTAAAATGCCAATAACATTTTTCACAGAGTTAGAAAAAATTAGTCCTAAAATTCACATGAAAGCACAAAAGACCTCCAACAGTCAAGGAAATTCTGAGCAAAAACAGCAATGCTGATGATATCAGGACACCTAACTGTAAACTATACTATAGAGACACAGTAATAAAGACTGCATGGTACTGGCACCAAAACAGACATGAAAGACCGATGGAACAAAATAGAAGACCCAGACACAAATCTATCTAGCTGCAGCCATTTGTTTTATTTTCAACAAAGGAGCTCAAAGCAAACGTTGGAGAGAAGATAGCCTCTTGAATAAATAGTGCTTGGAAAACTGACTATCCAGATGTAGAAGACTGACACTACTACTCAGTCTCTCACCCTGTACTAATATCAATCCAAAGTGGATAGAAGAGTTTCATGTAAGACCTGAAACTGTGAAACTACTGCAGAAAAGAAGAGAGAAAACACTGAAACATATTGTCAATAACTGCCTGAATAGAACTCCAATAACTCAACAATTAAGAGAAAGGATTGACAAATAAGTCTGCATCAAACTACAAAGCATCTGCACAACAAAAGAAACAGTCACTAGACTGAAAAGACAGCCTACAGAATGGGAGAAAATCTTTGCCAGCTATTCATCTGACAAGGGATTAATAACTAGAATATTCAGGGAGCTCAGAAAACTAAATTCCCAAATAAAACTCAATGAATAAATGGGCAAATGAAATAAACAGACAATTATCAAAAAATAAGTGCAAAAGGCCAATAAATACACAAAGAAATGCTAAACATCTTTGCCAATAATGGAAATTCAAATCAAAGAACATTGATATTTCACCTCACAGTAGTCGGAATGGCTACCATTAAAAACATAAACAATAACAAATACTGGCAAGGATATGGGGAAAAGGGAACCCTTATCCTATTGGTAGTAATGTAAATTAATACAACCACTATGGAAAGCAATATGGAGGTTCATCAATTCACAGATAAATGGATGGAACTGTAGAACATCGTCTTAAGGGAAATTAGCCAGGCTCAGAAGGCCAAAAATCATATGTTCTCCCTCATATGTGGACTTTAGATCTAAAAACAAATGCAATAATATTATTGGACATGGGTCATATGCTAAGGGGAGAACATGTACAAGAGGAATAGCGAAAGATAGGAAAACCAAATCTTGAATGTGTTTGATGTGCCCACTGTAGAGTAGTTAATAAAACAATCTTAAACTGACAAAGGCCATTATGGGAAGGTAACCGAGAAGTAGTGAAGAGGTCTGGTAGAGATGCACCAGTTCGGGTTATAATATACATGTGCACGGAAGCAATGGTAGGAATCTCTCTACATAACTATCTTTAGCTCAAATGAGTTTAGTTTTTTGTTTTGTAGTTGCAAGGAAGCTTACAAAAAATCTTCTGATTATAATAGGCTATTTTGAAATAATAGTAACTATTACTATTAATATTAACTAATTTTGAAAATTGACCATACATACAGGAACACAAATAAAAGGCAAAATTTAGATTCAGAATTTGTATGTACAGTCAGTCACTCTTATCATTTTGTTTCATACCTTCTGGTATTTCTTTCTTACTCATTATCATCTCTTTCTTTCAGTATGAAGAATTCCCTTTAGCATTTATTGTAAGGCAATCAATGTTTATCTGGGAATGTCTTTTCTCTTCTTCATTTCTAAAGTATAGTTTAACTGGTCACAATGTCCTTGGTGGTAAGTTTTTTTCATTTCAACATTATGAAAATGTTGTCTCACTCCCTCCTGGCCTGTAAGATTTCTACTGATGCATGTGCTCTCAGGCAATTTGAGTCATCTTTATATGCTGTTTCTTCTCTTCTATTTGAGAATCCTCTCCTTATCTTTAACTTTTGAGAGTTTGGTTATAATATGTAAGCTTGGTTGAGCTGAATCTGATGAGTGATCTTTGATTTTCCCATTTCTGGTATTTGTATCTCTCTATATGCTTAAAGGAGTTTTCTGTTATTATCTCTTTGAATAAGTAAGCATTATACAACATTTGATATTGTCAAGTTTGACCTGAACCCTAATAACCTATACATTTCCTTTTTGAATGCTTCCCCAAAATTCCTGTGAGCTTTCCTTCTTCTTCTTCTTTTACTTTTCCGTTTTCTCCTGTGTAATTTCAAATAGCCTACCTTCAAAGCTTATTATTTCTTTTGCTAGATCATTCTACTATCAATTCCTACTATTGGATTTTAAATTTTGCTTTGTGCACTTTATAGCTAGAGGATTTCTGTTAAATTTTGTTAAATTTACTTCACTTTCTCTGAAACTTCCTGAGTTTCTTAAAAACAGATATTTTGAGTTATCTGAGAATTTTCACATATTGGTTATCATATAGCTGTTTTCTGGTGTTTTATTTTATCCATAAGTGTGGTGACACATCCTTGAAATTCTTTGAGGCTTCTCAAATAATTGTACAAGACCTGGTACTGAATTTCAAGTTTATGACCAGGATTTCATTCCTTCTCCTCCCTAAGTGGGAGGCATCTCCAGCTGTACTGCATGGACTTGGGGGAGGGATGGCATAGACAGCTCTTTCTTTCTTGCCTTTGTCAAAGCATCTACTTTTATTACACTAACACCATGCACTGGGGTCTCTCACTTGATTTCCTTAGCTCTGTGCCTGACACTTGGGTGTATGAATAGCTGTTCAGATGGGTGTGTACACAGAATGGAGATTTCTGGAAGGTTTTACTCTACTGACATCTTGCTCTGTACTCTTTCTTGCAAAAATATTTTAGAAAAATTTACAAATTGCACTGCTGTTTTTTTTCTTTTTGGCAGTACTGGGGTTTGAACTCAATGACTCATGCTTGTTAGGCAAGTAGACTTAAGTCATACCTCCAAGCCTTTTTATTTGCTTTAACTTTTTTTTCAGATAAGGGTTTCCCTTTTTTCCCTGGCTAGGCTGGTACTATGATCCTCCTACCTATGCTTCCACATAGCTGGAATAAAGGCATTAACCTCCATGCTTAGATTATTTGTTGTGCTTAGATCTTGCTAACTTTTTGCCCAGGCTAGTTTAAAACTGATCTTTCTGATCTTTGTCTCCCTAGTACCTGGGATGACAGGCATGAGCCACCACTCCTCTTCTTGCAATAGTGTCTTTATTGAAACACATAAAGAAATTTGACTAAATTGGTGATGGTGTATACATTTAAAAATTTGATGTATAAAACTGGGCTAGAATTATTAGTTGCTTAAGAGTTATTTACCATCAAAACTACTCAGGAGGCAAAGATCATGAGGCTTGCAGGTTGAAGGTAGCCAAGAAAAATAGTTATCAAAACTTCATTTCAACCAACAAACCAAGCATGTAACCCTAGCTACATAGGAGGCATAAGTACTAGATTGTGGTCCAAAGCCATCCCTGAGCAAAAACACAAGAACTTATCTGAAAAATTACTAAAGCAAGAAAGAGCTAGGATTATGGATTACGTAGTACAGCACCTACCCAGCAAGCACAAGGCCTGGAATTCAAACCCCAGTACTGCCAAAAGAAAAGAGGTCTTTAAATATTGAGAAAATATGCTTAATAGGCCTGTATACTTAAATGTTTAACATTATAAAGGGTATTCACAACACTTTCTCACAAAAAAATGACCCTTAAATGTCAAATATGTGGAAATACCTACAATATTATTAGCTCTATAAATTCTCATGGAACAGGGATTTAGGCAATTTAGGCACATAAAATATATGTTAAGGGTAGTATAACCAACAATTCAAAAATATTAAAAATATACGTTTATATAAGAACATAAAAAGTTTTTACTATCTGATTCCCTGTGAAAAATGTTTTAGTTTCAGTTACATGAACCTCTTTTTTTATAATATAAAGAGTATACTAGATCCAGAATCATATTCATAATATAATTCTTACCTGTTTTCACAAAAATCACATCTCAAGGTGGAAAATGAAAATTTTCATGGAATATTAACTAAATTGCAGCATACATTGTCAAACTTGGAATATGTGTGTGTGCTTATATATACCCTAACGTCTACTTTGTCCTTTAGGTAAAATAATTTTAACCAATCACTCCATCATGTGGATGGCCAATAAGACTCTGAGTGGTGAGTTTTACCTGATGGGACTCTTCAGCCAGTCCTCACATCCTGGCCTCCTCTGCTTTCTCATCTTCAGTATGTTTTTGATGGCTGTGTCAGGGAATATTATATTGGTCCTTCTGATCCATATCAACTCCTCTCTGCATACTCCTATGTACTTTTTTATCAACCAGCTCTCACTCATGGATCTGATATATATTACTGTGACTGTGCCCAAAATGCTGGTGAACCAACTGACCAACATGAAGACCATATCAGTACTTGGATGTGGAACTCAGATGTACTTTTATCTGATGATAGGAGGTGCAGAGTACTGTCTTCTAGCTGCCATGTCATATGACCGCTATGTAGCCATCTGTCATCCTCTCCGTTACTCTGTCCTCATGAACCATAAGGTGTGTCTCCTTCTGGCATCTGGCTGCTGGTTTGTGGGCTCATTTGATGGCTTCATGCTCACTTCCATCACCATGACCTTCCCTTTCTGCAGATCCCGGGAGATACGTCACTTCTTCTGTGAGGTTCCTGCTCTATTGAAGCTCTCCTGTTCAGACACCTCACTCTATGAGATTTTCATGTACCTGTGCTGTGTCCTCATGCTCTTGATCCCTGTGACAATAATTTTAGGCTCTTATTACTGTATCATCCTTACAATTCACAGGATGAATTCAGTTGAGGGCCAGAAGAAGGCCTTTGCCACCTGTTCTTCCCACATTACAGTGGTCAGTCTCTTTTATGGAGCTGGTATCTATAGCTACATGCTTCCTATCTCCTACCACACCCCTGGGAAGGACATGATAGTGTCCTTTGTCTACACCATCCTTACACCTGTCTTGAACCCTGTCATTTACAGCCTCAGGAATAAGGATGTCACTAGGGCTCTGAATAAAATGTTGAGAGCAGAGAAAGCTCCATGTTGAAGTGTGAAGTAAGTTTGCTCTCTCTTCCAGAGTCTCTGTCTTCCCTTTAGATGTCCTTCCACAAAACAACCAGCATTTTGTGATGATGTCTGCTTTCTGGAGTTGTCCGTTAGAGGACTTCATCCCAATTTTCCTCTCTTCAGAGAATAAGTTACTTACACGTTAGGTGACACTCACGTATCCCTCTTTTTTTCATAGTACTGACATGTATTCCATTCCATTGAGTCAATTTTTGTTTAGATGACAGTTGAGGAATTTCATCCGAACTCTGTGGGAGGCAGAGTAAGAAGGATTGAGAGTTTCCCTCATATATGGAAGCTAGACATAAGATAAATGTATATACAAATACATACATGGTCACACACACACCCACACACACACACACACACATATCTATACATATACAAAGAGAGAGAAAACATCATTAATAGTGGGACTGTGTGAGGGCACTACTGAAAAGTATGAGAAGACAAGAATATTATAGAGTAAAGAATATTGAAATACATTGCATCTGTATATGAACATGGCAAAATGAAACCCATTGAGAGCTATTGAATAATAGGGGGGCGGGAAGATATAGATAAAGAAAGTGAAAGGGTGTTAATTTGACAAAAGTACAACAAACATATGCATGTGTGAAATAACATGATGGCACCCCTCTGAGTAATTAATATACACTTTAAAAGATGAAGGACAGGAGGATAAAACAGGTCCTGTCCAGGTAGATACTAGTGGAAGAGGGGAGGGACACCAAAAGGTTGAGGAGAGTGAGTATGGTTAATGTACTTTATATACATGTATGAATATAGAACAATGAAGCCAGTTGAAATTGTTTTAGGATGGGGGAGGAAGGATAAGGGAGAATGATGGAGGGATTAATCTCACCTAGGTATGGTCTAAGCACATATGTAAATATCACAATGAAGCCCCTCCTTACAGACAATATATACTAACAAAAATGTTAATGAAAAACAATTACCAGCAGTAGCCTTGATCATGTCATGCGTCAGAACTAGAATATGGAAATATTCATTTAATTTCAGAAAGTAGATTACGAAAACATCTGTGGATCCCATCTTGCTCAGTATGCTTGCTCTCTTATTTCCTGACTCAACTGTTCATTCAGTGTGAAGTCAGAACCATTTTGTAAGCAGACCTACAGACAGGCTCAAGTGGCAGGGACTGGATGTCACTGGTCAACCAGGACCTAGGGCCTGCCAACAGTCACTTGAGGGAGTTTGGAAGAGGTCATCCTCCACACATCCACAGGAGTCTTGAGAGAATAGTAGCTCCAGACAGTATTTTCATTGCAACTCAGCGACACCTGCGAAGCTGCTCCCAGATCTGACCCAGAGAACCTAGAGTAGTAAATTGTCATTGTTTGCAGCTACATTTTGGGATAATTTGTTACACAAGTGAAAATGTATGCATCCCTTAGATATACATTTTTTTAGTGGTATTTGGGTTTGAACTCAGGACCTCACCATTTTTGCTTTACTTGTTTTTACTTTTCAGGTGGGGTGTCATGTTTTTGCCTGCAGCCTGCCTCAGACTACAATTCTCCTATCTGTAGTCTCTTGAGTAGCTGGGATCACAGATGCATACCTCAATGTCCACCTTATTAATTGAGATAGGGTCCCAGTAACTTTTCTTAAGCTGTCCTTGAACTGTGATCCTTCTGATCTCCACCTTCCAAGTAACTGAGATTACAGATGTGAGTCATTGTGAGCCATGGTGCCTGGTCCTATATATACTTTCTTAATAGCAAAACATACCAAAAAGTGTCAAGATATCAGTCAATTCCAAACATCCTCGGGATGACAAGCAAATGCCACCATGCCCAACATTTTTTTGGTAAGTGGAATCTCACAGACATTTTGCCTAGGGTGGCGAGAACCCACAATCCTCCTGTACTCAGCCTCTCTTATAGTTTGGGAGGACAGATATATGCCACTGAGCCAGCTATTTCTTTGAGATGAGATCTTATACATTTTTCCCAGGCTGTTCTCAAACTGCAGTCCTCCTGATCTGAGTTTCCTAAGTAGCTCAGATTACAGGTATAAATCACCAGTGCATAGCTTTGGTTTCTTTTCTTTAGTACATTCATTCAGCTGTGTGAACAGAAGCTTCTGGTTTCTCTCCCACATTACTGGGGAGTTCTTGTCCCTCACTTACTCTTGTAGCATAACTGGACATCAGGGCCCTGGCTCCCATCTGATCTCATACTCTACAGCTGAACTGGATATTCCTTGACTTCCCTTAAAGTTTATATGTGGCTAGGCCACATCTCCTTTCTTGTTCTAGGATGCTTCATTTGCACTCTGGAACTCCGTAGTACTCATAAGCCTGCTTTTTGTACCATTACTATTGACCAAAATGTTATGAATCACACTCAGGTTAAAGTACAAGAAAAAGTCTAGTACTTTGGAGAAATACTGAACCCTTCCATCTCTTCGTTAAAAGAGGTTGCTCACTATTCTGCCCCAACCTTCTCAGGTCTGTGTTATCTCTGCTCTGTGCATACAATGCATTTACCCCATTATCAACAGAGCTCACCAACTCGCATCTTTTATGCCTTTAATTAACCACCACCGTGGGGTCTAACCTAAGTCCCTACAGAAAATGTAACTTCACATCCTAAGACCTCTGCCCTGCCAAACCCCAAACACTTTTCTCCCAATAATTTTTCATATTTTCTTCAATTTCTTTTCTGTTCATTCCTTCAAATGCTAAGAAGATTGCTTTTTTGTCTGTTTTTCTCATTGATGTATCCTCAATGTGTAAGCAGTGACTGGCACATAGCAGATACTCGGTATTTATTTGCAGAGTGAATGAATGAGTTGAGTCTTAAATGAGCAGGATATGGCCATGCAAATCTCTAGCAAAAGAGCACTAAAGGGAGGAAAGAGCATGTGAAAATCTCTTACATGGAAAGAGCTAGAGTGCTTCCAGCATTGCAGCATGATGCACGAAAAGACTTCAGACGCCATGGGAGGCAGCACAGTGTGGGAGGGCATGGACTGTAATCTGCATTTTTGGGCTTCACTCACACAGGGTACTCTACACAGGGTAGAGTACCTGAGAAGCTTCACAACCTTGTTCAAGTAAATCAAATCTATGGAATTTTATCAATATTAGCTGTGGAATTGGGTTAATCATAAAACTGGGATAATGAAAGTTTCCATACATGTAACATACTTAGGATAGTGCCTGTATCAGGGTAAGCACACCAGTTTTTAATTATAACTATAATTGTCATCATTATTATTTGTTAACTAAATGAATAAGGATGTAGCCATATATGTACATATATATAATTTGAAATTGTATTCTAAACATGTGTATATTAATGGTACAAATAAGGAGAATATGAGAAAATTCTTTTATTGAGAAAGTCTATGAATAGGTACAATTCTTGTCTACACAAATGCATTCTGGATAGCTCATGGCTCTCATCTATTATTGGAAAAGAATGGGTTTATATGTCCTCTTAGAAAACAGAAAATTTACTGAGACTGCAGCATGTCAGAAGTACTGACAGAAAGAAAATCAATACTATAGATTTAGGCTCTCTGAGGTTCTGAGTGGTTTACACTGATCCTCTTAATTAGGAGTCTGAATGTGGTACCTATCCCTGAGGATCTCCTACACAGAGAAAGTCAGGGCAAGCTTTAAAAACTTCCTGTGTAAAATGTGAATGACATAGCGCTCCCCTACAGCATGTCAAATGACTCAAGGAATGAAAATTCCTTCCAGAGTGGATAGTGAGTGACTATGAGACCACTGTAAATTCTTATACATTGATTACCGAGCCTATGATGCTATCAAAACATGAACCTCTGTTGAAAGAAAGGATTCTCTGATAGTTTTAATCACAGATTTACTTCTAAATAAATTTTAATTATTTTTTAAGAGATTCCTTTGTTATATAGCCTAGGATAGCTTCTAATTCTTAATCTTCTTGCCTTTGCCTCCTACAGATTTAGTATTGTATTCTTCAACTGTAATCTAAAAATGTCATTGGCTTAATGGAATGGACTAGAGGTCAGCACTATGGGAAAAGAAGGATAAGTGAGCATCACCTGAAGCATGACTGATTTTCTATAAAGAGGAAAATTTGGCTAGAATCCTCTGAAGGACAACTCAGGGAGGCACCATCACAATATGATGGTTGTTTGGTGGAAGGAAATCTAAAGTGAAGACAGAGACACTTTGAAAGAGAGAGCAAATATTCTTCACACTTTAATATGGAACTTTCCCCACTCTCAGCATTTTCTTCAAAGCCCCAGTAACATCCTTATTCCTGAGGCTGTAAATGACAGGATTCAAGGCAGGTGTGAGGATGGTATAGAAAAAGGACATCATCATGTCCTTCCCAGGGGTGTGGTATGAGTTAGGGAGCATGTAGTTGTACATTGAAGCTCCATAAAAGAGCGTGACAACAGTAATGTGGGAGGAACAGGTGGCAAAGGCCTTCTTCTGGCCCTCAACTGAATTCATCCTGTGAATTGTAAGGATGATAAAGTAGTAGGAGCCTAAAATTATTATCACAGGTATCAGGAGCATGAGGACACAGCACAGGTACATGAAAATCTCATAGAGTGAGGTGTCTGAACAGGAGAGCTTCAATAGAGCAGGAACCTCACAGAAGAAATGGTGGATCTCCCGGGATCTGCAGAAAGGGAAGGTCATGGTGATGGAAGTGAGCATGAAGCCATCTAATGATCCCACAAACCAGCAGCCAGATGCCAGAAGGAGACACACCTTATGGTTCATGAGGACAGAGTAACGGAGAGGATGACAGATGGCTACATAGCGGTCATATGACATGGCAGCTAGAAGACAGTACTCTGCACCTCCTATCATCAGATAAAAATACATCTGAGTTCCACACCCAAGTACTGATATTGTCTTCATGTTGGTCAGTTGGTTCACCAGCATTTTGGGCACAGTCACAGTAATATATGTCAGGTCCATGAGTGAGAGCTGGTTAATAAAGA